TGGCATTGGTGTCACCGAGCTGGCATTGGTGTCACCGAGATGGCATTGCTGTCACCGAGCTGGCATCTGTGTCACCGAGCTGGCGTTTGTGTCACCGAGCTGGCATTTGTTTCACCGAGATGGCGTTTGTGTCACCGAGATGGCATTTGTGTCACTGAGCTGGCATTGGTTTCACCGAGCTGGCATCTGTGTCACCGAGATGGCATTTGTGTCACTGAGCTGGCATTGGTGTCACCGAGATGGCATTTGTGTCACCGAGATGGCATCTGTGTCACCGAGCTGGCATTGGTGTCACCAAGATGGCATCTGTGTCACCGAGCTGGCATCTGTGTCACCGAGATGGCATTTGTGTCACCGAGCTGGCGTTGGTGTCACCGAGCTGGCGTTGGTGTCACCGAGATGGCATTTGTGTCACCGAGCTGGGATTTGTGTCACCGAGATGGCATCTGTGTCACCGAGATGGCATTGGTGTCACCGAGATGGCATTGGTGTCACCGAGATGGCGTTTGTGTCACCGAGCTGGCATTGGTGTCACCGAGCTGGCGTTTGTGTCACCGAGCTGGCATCTGTGTCACCGAGCTGGCGTTTGTGTCACCGAGATGGCATTGGTGTCACCGAGCTGGCATTGGTGTCACCGAGATGGCATTGGTGTCACCGAGATGGCGTTTGTGTCACCGAGATGGCATTTGTGTCACCCCGATCATCACCAGAGCAGGGACAGGATACCCTGCAGGGCCACCACACATGAGGGAAGGGATTTTGGGAATTTCCGAACAGTTTCAGTGCCCTTTCTGCTCATTCGCACCCCCGCAGGGTTTTGAGGTGTGATTTAAAGAGGTGAAAGGGATGATCAAAGCGGGAATGAGCCCAGCAGGAAGGGAAGGAGGGAATGGGGACAATGACACGGACCCGTTCAGTGGGGCAGGGGAGGGTTTCATCTCTCTGCGGCACACAGAATGTGTCTCATGCTCTCAGAAATAGATTTGATTGCAGATGATTGCAGGGAAATTGAGAAATGGCTGCACAGCCTGGGGAGAAATGCGTTGAGCGCGCTGTCCCTGGAATTTCACACCCCTGAAAATTTGGGAACACTCACCGTSCTCACTGTGCCCAAAGCGGGGAGAAAATTGTCCCTGGGAACTCCCGATGGCAATTCACACGGAAATCACCCAAATARAGCGCTGGGAAAGCAAAATCCTCAGCGCTGCTCTGCCCCTCCCTCGGCATCCCCGGCTCCCGTCCTTCACACCCCACAATCTCMGTGTCCCCGGTGCTCTCAGCACAGCAGCACCAGCTCCTCTGCTGCATTTTTAACATCAGCCCTTAAATTCAGAGCCATYCGAGCAGAGCCCTCCAGCACTGGTGACACTGATGCACTCGTTTGCTCAGGTAAATGGCACAGACAAAGAATCAAATGTTTTAATTTCCCGGAGGAATTGCACGGGAGAGAAACAGAAAATTAATCAGCTTTGTAGCTCCACAAAGGAGCCCAGTTCCTCATCCTCAGGATTACTGCCCTGTTTTCAGGCCCCYGGTGAATTTTTCACAAGGTTTACCTGCAGGGTAATTAGTGCAGCATCATTAAAAGAGATTCCTGGTCACAGCAGAGGGAACTGAGGCACGGGGCGGGTGSAGGTGAGGATTTGCCGCGGTGACAAAGGGGACAGAGTGTGCTCTCAGCTCCAGGCCGTGCCTTACACCCCAAACCCACTCTCAGAAGAGACACAGATGCACAGAGAGCACCCAGCCTGAATCTGAGGGGGAATATTCGAGGATCTGAGGGCTGTGGGGAGAAGCTGGATGTGTGAGTCCAACTTAATCCCAAAAAAAAAATCACCTGCAAAGGGCAGTTCTT